TTGGGAGGTTTTTGTGCTAGCTAACTGTGATCCTGTGTAACTACGCCACAGATGATTAGGTATAATCTGCAGACATGGGCAACACAGCTGTCGCTTTTAGCCTCTGACAAGATAACAAGGACCCTGCAGCTCCAGCAGATCTGGCATATAGATCTGACTTGGCACAGTCTGATCTTTGTTACCGGACGGCTGTTGGAGTCTGTAGGTGGGTAGGAGAAGGAAGGTGAAACTGATGGAGGAGAACCAGAGCTGGTGGACCTGTCCGCCAATGCCTGTCACATCATACGTCTGCAGTGGGGACGTCTGATAGCACTGATGAGTGCTGGTATCAGGCCTGCTCATGCTTGTCCAAATCCCAGATTAAAGGCCTCCGCCCCCTTCGTTCTACCGTCCCTCCCACCCTCACACACTTACTCTTTCTCTGTAGCACTTTTACAAAGCAGCCACTGCACTTCTGTCACCTCACTCACTGTGTGTGTGTGTGTGTGTGTGTTTGTCCTATTCCGTCTAACTCGGTGACATTTCTGCAAACACCCAGTGCTGCCCACTCTGTCTCTGTATCTTCATTATGTAACTCTGCCGAGTGCTGGACAAGTCAGATCTGAAGCTGCTGAGGCACAGTGAGCTGGTGCAGTCTTCGACCAGAATGGTGAGGTAGGACAGACCAATCTCAAGATAACTTTGTACTGAGAGACCATGCTCATACTGCTTCTTATTTCTGCTCAATAGACAGTGTTGTTAGTTAGACTTCTATGCTCATTGGAGAACAACTAAACTCAGAGAATGTTCTGTTCTGCATCTGGATGTAACGGATGTTTCAGGAGGTTTGATGTTGAAGATGCTTTAGTCATAAAGACTGATGTTGAGTTAACGTTACGGCAGTTTGTCCTTAAGCTGTGATCCAGGCTATGTGATTATGTGTTACCGTTGTGATTATTGTTAAATAAGTGACAGAACCACTGTGATGCTGCTGGAGATTAGAAATAGATTAGTGACAAAGACAATTTTGCCCTTCAGTTATTTCTTTTCTTTATGAACCTCTGCTGGATTAAAGACAATATCTCCAAGTAATCTGTTCAGCAGATGACAGACATGATCATTCCAGTCTGCTCTTACAAGACACTAACCTAGATATAGTGTCCAGGAAAAGTTTAAAGTGTATAAATTTAAGTTTCAACTTTATAAAAAACATCTGTGTGGTAGTGCTGTAATCTGAATTGTAATACTTTGGCTTGAAAAGGAATCCTCTTATGGACAATTTCACTGAATTAGCAACTCTTACCCACTGTAATATTACAAGCTGCAGGGTTACAACTCAGTTTATTTCCATGATCAATTTATCTGATAATGTGGTCCAAAATATACAAAAAAATACCTGTTGATAATTTAATAATCAAACACAAAGTCAATTAATTGTTCTAACAGATTTTAGAGACCATTTTAGAGAAAAAAAAACATTTCTAGCAAAGCTATTTACCTAAATATATACAGTATGTATATAAAGTGTTGTTTTGTTGATACAAATACAATTATATTATTTTTTAACTCTTCCTTTTAAAGATGCTGCTGGAAAAGTATTTTTTAATGCTTTTATTTAAAATATACCAACTAATGCAAATATTCTGAATACACCTAACACTATTTTGTCAATAGAAGTGATTGTCTCTTAATGTGATTAGTGTTGCTGCTAATGTTTCTCTTGTAACGCACGGTTTCACGGTTATGGTTTCAATTTGGAAAACTTGATTCTGTGCAAACTGTGAAAAAAAAAAAAGCACTTTCTTGTACGGGTCCATTTATCACTCACTAAGAGCCTTTGAATCATTTCCTGTTTGTCTCCAGATGTTCCTTCACAAGCCAGCCTCCCTGTTTCCCTGTGAGACTTTTACAAATATTTTCCAATTTCACAGGGACGACCTTGTCCCGGTCGCACTTGCATGTGCTAATAACTAAACCCTTAGTGTTCACTTGGAGTTTAGCCTTTGTGAGCAAGATCAGTGTTGTTTGAATGGCCTGGGTGAGATGTTCTGCTGGGGTTTTGTAGTCTCTGCTCATTTTTGTGTCTGTTAGTGGAAACTCACCTTTCAGTCTTTACAGCTCATGAAAATGAATGCCTACAAATTGACTCCGGTTTTATGCTTGTAAAGTGACAGCAGCAGCAGTAAGGTGAAGTGTCCTGTGTTAGTTTGATTTTCATGTAACACTCCCTCCTGAACAAACCCACCACACATTTAGCATCATTACTTAATCCAGCGCCACGTCTGTCTCCATGCCCGCATCACTGTCTCTACTTTCACTCAGCTCATGTTTCTGCTCGGTCACAGTCAGACGGACGAGGCAGCATTATCACTGATTATTATTATTGTTAAATGTGCACAGTGGTTATTAAAAAGCACATCTATCTCAGTTAAATTGGATTTCATATTAAACTTTACTAAAACCAGGCCATGTTTTATCCCTTCTCGTAGTGACCGCTGTGAAGATCTGCTGAGCCCACAGAAGTTATATTTTTTTCTAACTTTCATGGGTTTTTTGTGCAAAGACCTAAATGGTCACCCACTGACTGGTCTTTCAGATATGATCTCTTTAGTGGTTTCATGATTCATCATTTTGTCTGTTTATAGGTTGTATTCGTCTTTTGTAATTTTCCATTGTTGTAAAAGCCGGCAGAAATAGATTTTCTTGATTAATTTGCATAATAGGAACAAGTGTTTAACTGGTTCTGTTTACTTTTGAAAAGGTAAATGACAAACATTAGCAAACGATAGTCTTGTGGTGCGGTTAATGGTCACATGTTCATCTTGAGCAATAGATGGAGGACCGTCTTTTTCAATCTCACCCTCGTATTTGCTTTCCTCACTGTGACACCAACCGTCCTATTGTTTGTCTTCACTGCCTCCATGTATCTTCTCCAGTGTTCTACTTTTACTAATCCTTAGTCTAATCCAACCATGATCTTTCTCCAGCACCAAAACACCTCAGTCTTACCTCTTTACTTTATTTTAATCTTTAGCTGTTTGTTTAGATGAAGTCTATGTTTATAATAAGTATTATGATTTATAATAAGTATTATGATTTATAATAAGTATTATGAAATATGTTAATTTGTTAATGTTTTAGGGCACAGTCGCTTCTCGCTGTGGCCACTAACATCTAATTTCCACTTGTCAAAAAAGGAAAAGGAAAAATCTAATTTTATACTATTTTTATCCATTATTTTAGGATGAATTGCTTGGATATCTTTGCTTACTTTGACCTTTGAATTTCCAAGGAGTCAGCTGTGATGCTTTTGTACTGTTTATGTTTGTACTAAAATGTCCTGAAGAACCAAGTGGAACATGCATCTTGGTCACACAGTTTGTGGCTTCCTTCCTCAAAAGGACTCACATCTAGGTCCCTGAACTACTCACCACTGACAGACCACTCTTATACACTCCTTACTGTTGTGTTGTCTGAAACAGCCTCCTACTGTGTGTCTTTGGAGGGAGGGGCAGGGGAGAGGGGGCACGGTTAATGATGCACTGGATTAACCAGTGATGGCAAACAGTAGTTACAGGGGTTTAACCCAGTGACCTCTGCTCAAACAGGGGCTCTCAATCCACACAGCTGAAACAAAGCCATTCACTGACACATTCCTGGTCACTGCCACTTTAAGGCTAATGTAGTCAGGCTCACATCAAACACTGTTGTCAGGATACGCAGCAGGCCAGTGTGCTGCTGCGCTGATAAATCCGCTTAATGTCTTGTAACTGCTTCTGAACAATGTCCAAGTAAAGGGTTTGGTTTAGGTCCCAGTGTCAAACAGTCCGCTGAGGCTGAATAGTTCAGATAATCATTCAACATACCTGGGAAATGGACTGGATAAATATTTGCTCAGAGTGTTTGGCAACTGAGGAACCAGCATGTAATAATTGTTAGTTGTACTGCCATAAAGTGGACGGCTCTTCCTTTCAGATGTGGACAGGATATTAAGTTAGTGTGTATTTATTCACTAAGTGTGTGTGTGTCATCCACCTGAGACCAGTGAAGTAATGGTCAAAGACTACTGATATTTTCTTTAATAATGAGGAGTAATCTTTTGGAATTTCAGCTAATGATTTGACTGAGGCTAACACGAGGGAATATGTTGACTGAATATGTTCCCAGTCAGTCACTTCATACAATTACTACCCAAGGGTTTGTTTGTTTCCATGTACATGACACTTTACGACCATTGGAAATTTGCCTTCCCTATTAAACCTCGATTAAAACTTGCTAGCAGCTGCCTCGTATTCACAGTCCGAAGCCCTGAGTACACGATCACCAAACACTGATTAGCAGAGCACCATTTAAAGAGACTAAAATACCACTGCACTCTCCCATTAAACTACAGCACGTGCATTACTTTCTAAAGTCTTAGGGGCTACAGGATACACTAATTGAGGCTAACTTATGAAGACCAGTCCAGGGTTTTGATTAGCATTTTGTAGTACTGTAACTTAAAGGTCGTGCCCATTTACTCTCTAGGCTCCACTTTAGAATTGATTGTTTACAGTTTTTTGGGTTACGGGATCTATCGAAACACTGGTGGCTGTGTTGGCAGATAAGCCTTTGTGGGACAATGATACTGGCCCATTCTAGTTATCCAATATGAACCACAGCTTATCTGGTCTGTACCAGACCCATTATTCTACACTCTTATTTACAGGTGGTTCCATCCCAACATCACTGGACTGGATGCAGAGAAGCTTCTGTTGACCCGTGGAGTCCATGGCAGTTTCTTGGCTCGACCCAGTAAGAGTAACCCTGGAGATTTCACCCTTTCTGTCAGGTACTGTACATCCATGCTTAATTTATTCCATTTATTCTCAACAGTTGTGATTAAAGGCAGAAAATGATCGAGACATTCACACTCTTCTTATTAAAATAAGTCTGTTGATAGGCGATAACTAAACACATTGTAGGTGCCGTTGTCCCACCTTAGTTCCCTCTGTCCTCATACACAGTCGTTTGTCACACCACAGAGCTGAGAGTCAAACAGCCCGAGCCTGACAGTAATAACTCGGTAGATGATAATGTGAGTGCAGACCAATAACTGCCGCAGATAACGATGTTTGCAAGCCTACAACTTAACAAGGTGGCGGAAAATATTCACGTAGGTCGTTGCTTTAGTCTGACAGTAATTAGAGTCACATTCTGCATAGATAATTTTGAAATTTAAAAGTCACGTCTTATTCTCCAGGCAACCAAGTATCAACACAAATAGCATTCAGCAGATCTGTTTTTGTATTTTCTGGTGTTTACTCACCTGCTGATTACATCTTTACAAGAACAGAACAGACTTGAGAGTGTATGCAGTACATACAGTGTGTAGCCCATAGCCTAGAAAGTGGGTAGGTGGTTGGTGTACCAATTTCCATATGGATTGTACACCTGTGTAAAATGCCAGTGGACACCATTGACCATGTTTTATGTGAAGACCCCTTAAATCCTTTTAATTGCGAGCCCTCATATGTTACAGAGGTAATGCAGACTCTGACAAGTTGGAAGAATCACAAATACTGTGGCATTTACAGAGAGGAGGAAGAAAGAGGAGTGAAGAGTGGAGCTCTTCTTAGCAACAGAAGCTATTAGTAGGTCCATCGGTCATCCACGTTTCTGACAAAAGGCAAGCTGCATTTGTTACACTTTAAGTAGCAGGCACACCAACACTGGTAGATAAAGTAGATAAGCCTGTGTTTCTGTGTAAACAGGTGAGGATGGAAAGCAGAGAGTAAAATCCAAAAGGTAAAAGAGACATGGTATGCAGAAGGCTTAAATTTGAAAGATCGGTAAAGGGTATTTATTTGTGGTAGAGGTACTTTTTCACTAGCCGGTTCACTACTTAGCTGCTCATGTGATACAGTTGAAACACATTTGACAAAAAAAAGACTTAAAATAAATCTACTTTTCATTAAAGTCTGTTTGTAAAAACCAAAATACTATGTATACGTATCACTTTTATAATCTAATTAATCAAGTATTTACTGGTCCTGGTGTTTTGTGCAAGTTTATTGTGTAAAAAGCAGACAATACAGCACTTAAGGTATTGATTTATTGCTTTATAACAAAGAGTAATGGAAAGTATAGCTACAGTAAAGACATCACTGTCATTACAAATCAGACCCATTACTGTGCCTCTGATTTGGTTTATGAATGTTATTTTTTCTCTGCTCACTAACAATCTCACTGTGGTCACAAATGTGAAAAGAATAACCACCTTATCTTACGGTGATATATGTATGTGTACAGAGGTGCCCTCATTAGAACAAGGCTGTTGCTTCATGTTATAGCCATCATTTGTACCAGGAATCTTGGACAAGCATTTCCCTGATTCCATTAAGCACTAAATACAGTCTGAAATGTTGAAGCTAATGTAACTGGTTGTAATTGACAGATGTGTAGAAGCTATTCTTAGCTGGGATATCACTGCTCCTAACACATTTTCCATTTCCCCCCTCTGCCTCACGCACACATTCACAGTAAGTGTCTTATCGGGGCATAGGAGAGCCTAATTAGCTCATCATTAGCCAGGTTTTATCTTACTGAGGTCATCAGCAGGGGTGCAGTCAATGTGAATTTTCAAAATTAATGGACACTGAGGGAATTGGTTGTCCTCTCTGCTCTGTCTTATCTCCCTCTGTACGCCTATTCACTTTTTATCTCCACCGCTTCTTTTCTCCGCCGGTCCAGGAGGGGCATAAAAGCCTAAGGGGTTGGACAGAGCTGCTGAATGCTGATGTTTTGAGGTGTTAATGACAGCTTTTTGAGTTTTATGGTCCTCAAAAGAAAGGTGAGGGCTGGCGGATTAGTTAGAAGTACAAAAAATCCAGGCTGTATTATTTCTATATTCAGCTAGCACAGCCATCTAGAATAGTTTCTCTGTAGGTAGCAAAGGAAAATAGATATTTTTTCCATCTTTTAGTAATTGTGTTACAATTTTCCATTATATATTTGCACTGCAGCAATGCTGATGTGTTCACTGCATCATTAATATGAATTTTAAGTGATACAAATTATAAAGTGTGTATTTTTTTCCTCACACCTGTTTATTTTCCGACAGTTTCAGCAGTCTCTCTGAGTGCTTTGTTCCACTCACGCCTAAACTCTTTCTTCATGCCTTCACCCTGATTGGCAGTTTAGGCTTAAAGAACGCCACAGTTATCTAGATGTTTAAAATACATTACACAATGTTAACAAGTGGTTATTCTCTGTTCTAGTAGTAAATCTATTGTAAATATCCTTCATAGATAATGGGCACAGACAGTGATGTGCTTAAAAATACCTTATTTTTACACACTATTATTATTATTATCATCATCATTATCAAACCAATGATAAAAATTACCAGTAGTAATAGTAAAAATAGTAGTAGTAGTAGAATTAGTGGTAGTAGTCTGATGACATGAGGTCTGGGATGTTGATCAGCCCTGCTCTGGGTCTGGTCTTACCAGTCATCTCAGCCCAGGAGAGTATCTGTATGTAAAACTGTAAAACTGCTGCAGTGCTTAGATGAACAAGAACAGAAGTTATGTAAACGTGCTTTTGTTCTGAAGTTGATGTTATAATGTCATGATTGCGGCTGTGGACTCTAAGGTTAACTTGATTTCTATACATGAAAACTGGACAAAAAGTCTATTTCTCTGCAGTGGTGAATGCCTTTAGTTTAATATTTGATTTGCTAACATAAAGGTCAAAGAGGTGAGGTTTAGAGGAAATACTTGAACTGCTACTATGTAAAGGGATAAGGCTGTTAAAAAATATTACATTTGTTTAAAATGTAAAAGTTTAAATGACACATAAAGGACAAAACTGCTTTTAACTTTATTAATAACTGCAACTAGTGGCAGAAATCATACATGTAATTAAGATTAAAATGTCAAACAAAAATATAGATAGACGTGAATGCAGCAGGGTAAACAGAGAGTGACCTGAGTTTTAAATGCTTTTTAGCAGACAATACAGTCATAGTAGTGAGAACTGAAGACACCGAGCCCTCGTATGTCATTTGAAGTTTTCAAATTAACAAGAAAAGTTGGCTCTCCAAAAAATCAGATTTAGTGGATTTTTTTTTCACATGCAAAGACCAAACAAAAGTTTATTCCCTTCAATTTTACAAATGAACTGAGAGCCGTTGGAGGAGTTTCTCAGTGGTGTAAAGCTCTATTAAGTGAAAAATATTACTCAGAATGGCTTCAGGGCAATGCTAGCAATAATTAATTCAAATGTCTGTGTGTGTGTGTGTGTGCGTGCGTGTGCGATTAAGCATTTTTCTCATTCTTATTACTGTGTTTTATTCGTTTTTCTAATGATTTTAATGTTTTATTAGTTATTATGATTCAGGATTAACTGCTTGGCTGATAGAACTGTTTGCTCTCTGGATTTGAGCAGCGACATAGAGATTAAGAGGAGCATGAATATTTTCTGTGTTTCCACTTACCTGTTCTTGTAGTCCCTGTTATTGAATATTACATTTTTTTTAAACGTCTGCCTTTAATTAAAACCTAAAATAAATGTGTGAATAATGTATCCTGCCATCAATTAATCCAACTAATGGATAAAATATCGGATTTAAGAAGCTGTGTTATTATAGACACAAGGTGTGTTTTTTCGGGCTGATGAATATTTATCCACAGCTGATATAATTAAACAGAATGGTGCTGGAAACGCATGCAAATTAAATGTTTTTTTCAGCGAGGAAAAACATCAAACATATCAGTTAAGACTTTTGTTTTTTAGACATTTTTTCCATACAATGTTTTTTTTTTTGCATAACTTTCCGTCGTTGTATTTTCCGTTGTGACGATGTGTCACAGTTACAGTCACTGCATTGTCTTGACTTTTAAACTTGGTTTCTTGTTTAGTTATTAAATCTGCCTGATCTTATTTGCATAGACTGCGCTCTGACTATTTCGGTGACATCATTGTTTGTTATAGGAAATCATTGTTTTAGAGTCTAATGAAAAGTATGACAGAATGTGGGGAGAAAAGATCAGTGAAGGGCGGTTGTAAATGGAAGACTGTATAGATCAGGGGTCCCCAACCCCCGGTTTGCGGACCAGTACCAGTCCATAGGTCATTTGGTCATTTGGCCACAGTGGGACACAGTCATATGTCATATATCATATATATTTCTTTATTTAAAAATATTCTGGCAATATTTTAAAAGAATAGGTCATTCAGACCGATACTAATAGAATATCGTCTAAAAGTTTTTATTTTGAAAATGGAATAATCCTTCAATGCTCAGCACCTTGGTACTGGTCTGTAGTAACGGGTGGTACTGGCTGACCAGTCCTCGGAACAAAAAAGGTCGGGGACCACTGGTATAGCTGTTACTACTCCAAAACAGACTAATACATGTTTCTGCAATTGAATATTATTTATTCTTTATTCTTATTATTAAGCTACAAATATTGTTCATTGCTGTATGATTTTAAAAAAAAGTTTAATTTCTTAGGTTAACAAACTGCTGCATGGACTTTACTTAATGTAAATGGCACAAAAACACAAACGGCTTGGTGGGCCGCATTTGGCCCCCGGGCCTTGAATTTGACACGTATGTTCTATGTGATATGTTTTAGAGAGCAACATCTAGATTGTCAAAACAGAAATAAAAGTCTAAGAATGTTAAAATTAAGTTTTTATTTTACCCTAAAAACTATAGAATGCATTGGATCAGTGTGGTTAAAAATGTATGAAAATGAAAAAAATATATATTAACAATAAACATCAAATATTGATGTTAGAAAAAAATTTGATTTTTGTTTCATTTCATTTGAGTGTCTGTCCAGAACAGTTCTAATCAATTCTGAGAAATACATTTGGTGACCCCAGGACTAAACAATTGATAACCTATCATAGGCAAATATAAAGCTTAATCCATAACTTTAGAAAACGCTTCTCTACATGTTTATAATGTGAAAGGAGCCGAAGAAGTGGATACAAATGTTAAATGGAATATAATAACTTACTCTGAGGCAAGATGAGCTTTTGCCTATTGGGGAAAATGAAAGGTCTCTGTCACGGCATTTTGCCAGGAGCCACTAATGCAGCCATTAAACAATAACCAGGAAACAGAGAGCAGAGGTAGACGGAGATGAATAATGGGGGAAGAATGCTGGTAAATAGGTATGTAAAATGTTTGATAACTGGAAAAGTCATGTGAGGTGAAAAGGAGGAAATAGGATTTGTGATATTTGATATGAACATTAGCCCATATTCAGTTAAAGGGAGAGAGGAACGTGATGTTTCTCACTCTGGAGATCAGATAACACTGAATAAACTGGCCCTGGATCAGTTATACAGTATGTCCATGTGTCATTACATCTAATTTGCTTACTGGATGAATTCTGTCTGCCTGGGAATTATTTTTCTAATTTGGTCACTGAAAGAAAAGACTATTTACATACAGTACATTTAGTAATCAAGTATCTTGTTTCTTACTTGCTGCAGTGCATGTAAATCTCACAGAGCAGAATCTTCCGAGCAGGGTTATAGATAACAAGAACATAACCCAGATAACATGAGCATAGCAAATGGTTTTTGTCGTATCAGTTTTTAAGCTCAGAAACTTCTTTAATCCTTTCTTTGAAGACGGTTTAGATATACCTAGGGGTGTCTCAATCCGATACTAAGGCTTGCTATCGTTTCGATATTGGTCAAGATTTCCAGATTGAATGTCGAAAAAACAACAGTAGTCTGTCCAGTCTGAGCCTGCAGGCAGAGTTTGACCTGTGGTATAGATGGTACCATGGGAAAAGATGTCTATGTTTTTTTTTTATGTAAGCAAATTATATATGCAGATTATTGTTATTTTTCTGTCTTTGTTTTCCCCTAGAAGCACACAAACATTCAATGGGAAACTATCGAGTGTCTTGTTGAAGTGGGTTTACCTCTGTTTTTATGAATTTAAATAAACAGAGTGACTCACTTCTTGTTTTTTTTTTTCCCTGCACAGGCGGAATGATGAGGTGACCCACATCAAGATCCAGAACTCGGGTGACTACTATGACCTGTACGGGGGCGAGAAGTTTGCCACGTTGGCCGAGCTGGTGCAGTACTACACCGAGCAACAGGATCTGCTGCGGGAGAGGAACGGTCATGTCATCGAGCTCAAGTACCCACTCAATTGCAAGGACCCCACATCTGAGAGGTGCTGACAATCTCGCACAATAACGCCCACGATAACCAACATACTCGTATTTGCATACAATACCCAGCTCTGTACAGAGTGAATAACACCAGGCAGGGAGACATAAATAAGACACGGCAAAGGTCGGTTCAAGAGGTCACTGTTGGCCCTGAATTCATTAAAACTGCAAATGTTTCTCCCTCACCAAAGATAGTAATATTTATTCATAGAGCTCTGTGAGGTAGTACTCCAAAACTAGAAAGTACCCATGGATACTAGCAAAGTTACCTCTCTGTATGTGTTTTTATTTTCTCTACTGCTTAAGTTTTGTTTCTTCAGATGTTTAGAAGTTTGTAACTGGGGTTTTTTAAGTTTCTTCCATGACGTCACTGAGAACTGAAGAAGCCTCTTGAGTAGAACTCTTGAAAAGGCTTCTTCCTCAAGTAATTGCATATACACTACATTACAGTTTACCTCTGAACTTATTACATTATGTTGGAAGGGATCAGATTCACGAGAACCTTGACAGGCTGAATCTGTGAGTCATCTTCATCTGAAGATAAATTGGTGGCTAGTTTGATTAACTTAAATTTAGGTTATATTTTTGAAATCTTTCAGGATTTTATGTACAGTCCAGCTTCGTTTTGGTTCCTTTTTTTTCTTTCTTTTTTTTTACACTTATTTTTCTCACTGGAGCTGAAAGTTCCTGACAGACAGTTAACTGTAAACTTTAACTCCAGAATGCAGTAATAACCTATCATAAAACAATAACAATCAACAGTTAACAATATATAACCAAACTGTGTGCTCCTCAATTCAGAGGTTTATTATCATCAGTATCATCTGCCTCCACACACCAACCATCCATTAGAATGAACAGTATTTTCCTGGACTCTCCATTATTTCCTCCAACACTTCGGCCTCAACTTTGACATTTTTGTCCAGAAATATCACTGTCTCTCTTCACCCTTCTCTCTCTAACTTTGATCTCCAGACTTCTCAACCTTTTCTGTTCCACTGATCTGCTCTTATCTACTCTTTCCATCCTGCTCATTCCCAATGAAAACGTCAGCATCTATCTTTAAGCCACTTCCAGCACATCTCCCTGTCTTCTAGACCAGTGATTGCCAAACACAGTGCTGTGGACAATTAACCAATTTTAATTGAGTTTGAGAACTATTAATTATTTGTTCCACGTAATTTGTCCTTGTCCATCACAGCTCTGGTGATAGGCAGAGCCATTTAATACTGCTGTTGAGAAAGATCTTTGTGAGTCTTCAATTCCTGCACGTATCAGTGTTGTGTTCAACAGACAGACCCAGGTTTCACAATTAGTGGGTAAATTGTGAGTACCGGTAAACTATAAAATTATTATATTTCGTCACATGTACTTTTTGTGAAATATTTATTTGGTTGTCGGACGAGGAACTTTTCTAACTATGTGCCGTGGCACAAAAGATGGATGAGTTATTACTATACCAATTTGGGGGAAACCCACATGAGTTATTTTTACCAAATATTTAAATAATTACTGTCTGTACCTTGTTTTTTTGTGGTTAGCCTCAGCGATGTTAACTCTTGCGTCATCAGCTTCACTTTACCTTAAGGAGACATTGGCAGTGTTTTTTTTAAAAAAACAACAACATCAGCTTGTTTTTTTTATACGTCAGTATGTGTGTCCTGTGTGGGTGGTGCTGCTGTTTTTGTTTGTGTTCACTGGTTTCTGCACACAGTGTGTAGGCTCAGACTTTACACTGATAAACATGTTAATAAACATGTCACCACATCTGCACAGCTCATCTGTAATGTATCACGGCTGCTGTGTTAGCCAGGGATCTGTACCTGGAACTCACTCACAAAGAAGACGCTGTAGAAAAACATATTTTCAGCTGGATAAAAAAAAGGAATCGCCTATAGCGTATAAAACACGTCAGCTTCCATTGTTATCTGGTATCATCTCAGGCTGAACCTGTTATATACATTCATCTTCACCTCACGTCTGCACCACCTGCGTCTTCATTTCTGTGCAGGTCTAAGAACAACTTGTGATCTGTGTCTGTGGTTTGTGTAGTTTTTCCATTCTACATGCATCTGTTGTCTGAGCCTCCACGCACTCTTGGCTCACCACAAAAAAAAAAACACTGAAGGAATCAACAATGTAACACAGACTTATTTTTCAGTACAGCCTTTTCTCACTTTGCAGCAATACGCAGATAGACATTATAGCTTCTTATAACTCTACAATGGATTTTGTTTCCTGGAGGCAGGAAGCCTGACTCTTGTCCTCCCACTCTTTTGGTTTCTGCCTCAGTTCTTCTCTCTTGTCTTGATAAATCTTCTACCTTGAAAACCACATCATCCAGCCTGAGGCTGAACTTCTTCATCTCCACAGGAGTTTGAGAAGCAGATGGTGTGTGCAGTCAATCTGTAATGATCATCACTGATGTTCCATGTGTTTTTGAACACACCACACCCAGCTCTCTGTTCTCTTTTCAAGTCTCCAAGGTTCTGTAGCATTCCCTGACAGTCACAGACAGCTAATGTGATTCGCTGGACATGGTGAATGGTTGTGGCTTCATTCGAGAACAATCCTTTAGGCTGATAGAAAGAAAGTAGCAAAGTATTTTAATGGAAATAGAAATATGAGGAAAATATGTTGATGTGAGGAACCAAAGTTTCACTTTATACTTTAGCTATATTAAAGTAGAAATTGCACTATTTTCATGTGGCCCCACACTCTGTCTGCAGCATGTTCAGAAATTGCACTATTTTCATGTGGCCCCGCACTCTGTCTGCAGCATGTGTGACCATTTAGCTTCACGCGCCTACGTGATGCCTACATCGTTCTTGGAACTGGTTTGTGCAACAAAGTGCACATCCAAACCACAAAATTTTAATAATCAATGATGAGACATTTTGATCCTGTCATGACACTCATTGCTGTCCAGAAAATTCATGTTTGTATCAAATCAAAATGTTGAATTGTCATTTATTTTGTGTTTTTTATTTTCTTTTTTCTTTTTCATTGTCATTTCCAGGTGGTACCACGGGCACCTCTCGGGGAGAGATGCAGATAAACTGCTGACTGACAAAGGCAAGCCTGGTAGTTTCCTGGTGAGAGAAAGCCAAAGTAAACCAGGCGACTTTGTTCTCTCAGTTCTCACCAATGAAGAGAAGCATGAAAACATGGATCGTAAGACCAAGGTCACGCATGTGATGATACGCTACCAGGTGAGCTGCGCTCAGGTCATCAGACTCTAATAAAAATGAAAACACGTAGTGAATAGAGAACTTTATCACATCAGCAAAGACTTGGACAGGAAGATTAACTCAATCTTTGTCCGCAGCAGGATGGTAAATATGACGTGGGTGGAGGTGAGAGGTTCGATACCCTTGCTGATCTGGTGGATCACTATAAGAAAAACCCAATGGTGGAGAAAAGTGGCATTGTGGTACATCTTAAACAGGTACTGAATCCAGTATGGCAACTTTCTGCATCATGGTTATTATTGCTTTTGAACTTTTATTTTAGCATGTTTTTTTAATAAATAAATGCTCTGTCTTTAAAGCCGTTTAATGCCACACGGATAAATGCAGCGAACATTGACAACCGTGTACGAGAGCTCAACAAAGTAGCAGACAACTCTGAGAAACCCAAGCAAGGATTCTGGGAGGAATTTGAGGTATGTGCCCCTGGAGTTATTTGTTTCAGTATCTGTAATGGTGGTGGGTTCAAATCTGTCATGTTTGTTTAAATGAAATTACCCTTCACCACATATACTGTCGGAGAAATTCATTTTTGTTTCACTCTCTAACCACAGAAGCCGAATATTTGTCATTAGAGGGTTTCATTAGCCTTGGCCCGAAACAAATGTGTTTGAATTCTTAATGTCTGTAGGCGTTTAATACTTAAAGGAATTTGTCACGTCATCTAAAATACCATCCTGTGAGGTAGCATGGTCACTGTTTTTTTATTGTTATATTCATCTATAATTGTTGTCTTTTGTGTCAAATAAAAGGGCTCATGTTTATTTATGACATGTAATTTTGTACATCTGAGTTAAATTCCTGTGTTTTGTTTGATTTTCTTGCTGAATTAGTAGGTTATCTATAATCATAACTGTCAAATCAGTCCATGTTCATATTTTATATCAGCATTTTATCCCCGGTTTATTGTTTATTGGACTGTTTTTGTAATTTACACATTCCTTTTACACAGAATAACTTAAAACGACTAAAAGTTGCAGAAAATCTATTTAAATCTTATCATTTTGTGAATGAAACATTCTTAAAGGGTTAGTTCACTCTGTTTCTCCTAAATTATTTCTGTTTCTGTCATGTCAGGGGACTTTTACTTTATCAAAAAAGGTCAAGATTATTGGTCTTTTATTAACATTTAAAAAACTAAATGTATAAGTGTAAATGTAAACTATACTGATGTTCTGTTTGGATCCTACTTTCTTAAAAAAATTGATGCATGTGTTTTGTTGTTTATTTCTGTTTCTCGTCATTTATCAGGTGCTTCAACAACAGGAATGCAAACTGCTGTATCCCCGGAAAGAAGGCCAGAAGCCAGAGAACAAGAGTAAAAACAGATACAAGAATATCCTCCCCTGTGAGTGGAGCAGCAGTCTACCATTTCCTGTGTCTCCAAGCTTCCTGTGGAAACTGTGACACAAATAGACAACAGAGAAATGTTGAGCCCTCAGCAAAAATGTCACCCATTTATTCTTGATAACTCACAGCCCATCCGTTGACGCGAGACAGGAAAACAAAAAATGTCGACATTTGGCTCTGCACTAAAGACGGTTTGTGTTGTTTTCAGTTGACACGACTCGTGTGGTGATTAGGGAGAGTGATCCAGATGTTCTAGGTTCAGACTACATCAATGCAAACTACATCAGAGTGAGTCTCTGTGGGTGGCGTCTATATGTTCATTGTTATTGTTAGAGATTATTATATTGTTGTGAGATTATTACTGTCAGACCGAACGTCCTTTAGTCTGTGTAACATCTTTGTTCTGTGCAGTGTTTGCATGAAGAAGGGCGCCACATGGAGGAGGGCAAGGTTTTCATCGCCACCCAGGGCTGTCTGCAGAACACGGTCATCGACTTCTGGAAGATGTTGTATCAGGAGAACACACACGTCATCGTCATGACCACCAGGGGAATCGAGCGAGGACGAGTGAGTGACTAGCTCAGCTGTCCATCAACTAGTCCGTCTTACATTACTGTGCTGTTTCATACTGCAGCATGTTGAAGTTGGTTCTGTAGAAAAATGTAATTAGTTCTGTTTCTCTTACTTTGTCCGGTGTTTATGGTTTGAGCTTTCCCAAATTATTTTGATTTCTCAGAAACAATACAATAGAATCACCATCAAAAAAAGTCTTCTGTTATTTGACACCTGTTCCTTTATAATCCGGCCATGGACCACTTTAGTTTTACAGCAGGTGTGAGAATAACAATTGCTGACCACAGTACTTTACAAGCTCAGACAAAAATAAAAGCACATGAATCATTAGACGTGTATGAAATAATCATAAGTACACGGAGCAAAAAGGAACTCCATCTGGACAACAATGAATGAAGATGAAATTGATAGAGTCTGAAGTTTAAGTCCAAAACTATTGGAGACAAAACCGCTGAGACCAAAACTGCTTCACTGGGTTTGGAAGTTGAGACATCAGAATGGAATTAATCTGTTTTTTGAAAGTTTTCTGTTAGTGATGTCTTAGGTTCTCTTCCATAGAAGTGTAGGGCTAATTTTTTGTTTTTTTTTCAGCTGGACATGCTTGTCCAGCGACCTCCTGTCTCTCTCCGTTTTGCACGCTTTCTGGATAAAAAACTACACCTGCTTCTCTGAAGATAAGATACAGAAAGAAAGAGGAGAAATGGAACAACTGGACTGTTCCTGTAAATTTCAGTCTAATGGCTGACTCTGTTTTTGATGTGTGAGTGTGTGTGTAGAAGTAGGAGGTGGGTCACAAGAGACAACTGTCGAGGATAGTATGACAGCTAAGCTGATGTTAAAGCTGCTTAAGATGAGCGGCTTCTTTAGATTGTCTAATGCTCCGCTCCGTCCCGCTGCTCCATCCTTCACTCCTTCACTCTCTTCATTCGCCATCTTCTCTGTGTCTCTCTGTTTCTTTAGAACAAATGTGTCCAGTATTGGCCCGACCCTTACTCCACCAAAGAGTTTGGGATGGTGTTGGTGAGGAACGTTGAAGAGCTGCCGACCCAAGACTACGTCCTAAGAAAGCTGGAGGTGACTCATCTGGACCGGGTAGGAAAAGCCCTGCTGTACTTCGTCAGTGCTGACCCACTGACCTGGGGTCAGATTATCTCATATGTTACATGCACACACACACACAATCCTCTAACATGTGCTTCAGCTCAGAGAAATAACAAATCGAAGGATCAGGAAGGAAAAAAACAGAACTAAATTTATTGTTGGTTTTATTTTATGTTCTGTTTAGTTTGGAGGTTTGAATCTAACTTTTGGCACATAATACATTACTGCCTAATGAAGGTAATAAAACCTTCAACACTGCTTCGCCACTTGGAGACCAAGCGTTCTGCTTAACGTTTGTTATTAGTGATGCACCAAAATTACAATTCTTGGCCAAAACCAAAATTGAGGAAACCAAGGCCGAAAACTGAAACACCGAAATCAATTATTATGGCAATTATTAGTACCATTGCATTTATGGCTATGACTCTGAACTAAATGTCAATAAAATCAAAGCACTGGTAAAAGTCTTTTGTCAGAAAAACTGAAAATGCACTTAAGGGCAATTTTCAGCCAAAGATTTTCGGTTGCCGAAAATTAGGTGCATCTCTATTTCTGATTATATTTATATTATATACATATTAGTATAAACCCAATTCTTCTAATTCTAATTCTTCTGATTTTGATTATTGTTTGTTGCACAGTTGTATATCTGTGATTTCATTATATATTCATATGGTTTTCCCTTTTACTTCCACTCTTATAGAAGGAGCCTCTGCGGTACATCTGGCACTTCCAGTACCTGAGCTGGCCAGACCACGGTGTTCCCAACGATCCTGGTGGTGTCCTCTGGTTCTTGGAGGAGGTCAACCGCACGCAGAGCACCATTCCAGACAGTGGACCTATTGTCGTTCATTGCAGGTGCGGTCTGGAGCCAGGAACAAGTGAACACAGACTCTGCATTTGCTCCTTAGTTATTGGTACAGTAGTGGCTCCGGTTGAATAAACAAGCAGCAGACCTTCAACTGAAACTGAAACAGAAGAAAGTGATGAGGTTTTTGAGGATTTTGAGGACAGTAACACAATTAGCTCTGGGCAGATAATCCATAAATCCAGTAATCGCACGATAAATGAAAACGAGCGTAATAATTTTGCCGACCTTGATGTATGTTTGTTTTCCTGTCCTGCCTCCTAACTTGCTGGATGACTGAATGAAATGGGGTTTGTTCTCTGCATCGGTCTCACTACTTGGGGGTGTTTGTTCCAACGAACTTGCATGCTCACATAAAACATGACCACCTGAAGTAGTTTTTCCAACTGGGGAAAAAAACTGCACCTTGAGATGCAGAGCCTTCATCCCATCAGTCAAAAATTCACTGAGGTGTTTAGTTGACAAAGTAAATACAAACAGGACAGTGCAAAACAGTGTGCACTCTCACAAAGTGTACTTCACTATATCACAAAAAATATATACTGTATATGTGGCCATCCAGGGGCGTTCAGATACCATAGGAAATACGAGGGGCGTTAGATACATTAGAAATTTGGGAATCGTAACAATTACTCATTAGTAAGGGTGTACTTTGCGGGACAATATATGGTCCAGAAAAATGTGTTATCGTCAAAGGCCTAAACATGATCTGAGGCTTTTAAATAAAGCAGTAAGTAGTAGCAGTACTTAGTAGGAGTGACTCAATATCAGGATGTATTGACCAGATATTCGTGGAAAAAAAAGGACTTAGTTATATAGTTATGTACTTATAGTTAACATAACTATTCATATCGGTATAAGCAGATACTTCTAGTTGCAGTTCGGTATCAGGCTCCCACAGCAGAAGTTTGTCACTGATGGAAACTATTAATTCATATCATTTATTTCCATGTCTTACTGACACTGATGCAGCTTCTGAGTGACTCAGTTTAGACAGCTAACTATTATACAGCCAGTATTGTACCGTATCATTTTTTTTTGTTTGTTTGGTTTTTTTTTTTTGCCTTTTGACCTTTGCCTCTTCTCCCCACAGTGCAGGCATCGGCAGAACAGGCACCATCATTGTCATTGACATTCTCATTGATATCATTAATCGCCAAGGTTTGAGGCCATATTTTGACAGTATTCTCTGTCTCTCCTCTATATCTGCACTGTGTCTTACTGTGTCTCTGTTTCAGGTCTGGACTGTGACATCGACATCCCCAAGACCATCCAGATGGTTCGTCAGCAGAGGTCGGGCATGGTGCAGACGGAGGCTCAGTATAGGTTCATCTACACAGCAGTGCAGCAGCACATAGAGACGGCTCAGAAGAGACTGGAGGAGGAGCAGGTGGGTTCCTGCAGCACTGGTCCACATTTCATTGTGGTTTTGTAAGGATTGTCACCCTGAGGTACAGCTTATAGGATTTAGCAACTTCTAGTGGTTAGGTTACATGTTGTGGCTGAATATTCCTCACCACAGCAGGCATTTAGTTAGCATTTAGTGTCTACTTTGGACCTGGACGTCTCTGAAGGATCTGGTCCCTTTAAACTGAAATGACTTCTGTTTCCACTTGGCAGCGGGGTAAGACGAAGGAGCGAGAATATTCCAACATCAAATATCCCCAGATGACCAACTCTAGATCCAAACCCAGCATTGCCTCCTCTCGCTCTTCCTCTGTGTGAGTACAACAGTGTGGGCTAAGTCCAGTAAAGGTCAAATATAAACAGAAAATAACTGAAACACAGCTGCGGCAGAGTTGAGTTCAGAGAGACAGTGTTTCTGCTGTTTGATGAAAAAGGAATTGAAAATCCATTCAATGCAGCGATGACGTAGCAGTGGTCTGGGTCAATCTGAAGGGTTACAGGACTGTGCTAAAGTTTTGGTGCTGATGACTGATCATGTACAGTTGTTGACAGCATTTGAGGCATTTTTTTCCCTAAAGAGAAATTCTAAACTCTAACAGTTTCACGACTGTGTTAAATGCAAAACAGGTCAGTATAAAAAAAGTGTTGTTTTATTGATATGTCATTGTTTGGTGATGCAGTTTGACAAACGACGACTCGTCCAGTGTCTACGAGAACATAAACTTCAAAAGTCCTCAGTCGTCTTTTGGCAGCAACACCAGGAGATAAAACCACCGTCACCACGGCTTCTCTGTCTGTCTCTTTGTAAGTACTTTAGTATTTACTAATATCAGTATTTTAAAACAAATATGTGTGAAAATGCTGCATTTGGGTCTGTGTGTAATGAACTGTGTAATTTTACTGCTCAGTCCATTTGTAGTAGCTGGAGCTTTTAAAAAGGATAAGACACGGTTTACATGGATGTTTTATATAACATCAACTATATCTGGTTAAAGAAAATAAACTTCTAAGTTTTATGTCCAAGCCCTGATTTATGCGAGGCCAGCTGCATCTGTGCTGCTTTAAAGGAGAAGTTAACCTTCCTGTACAGACACAGAAGATTTAATTTAATTTATAGGTTCAATCTCCTCTTGCAGTTTATTTTATTTTTTTCATCAAAGTAATTCATGGAACAGACCAAGAGGAGAAAAGGGAGGTTTCTCTACATCAGGGGTCTGCAACCTCAAATGACCACAGAGGCCATTTTATGAATTCCTCTCAAAATTCATCAAGAGCCACAGACATGTTTATACCATTTAAATGATGCCGGTCTACAGATACAGATGTCATCACAGACTAAAATCATTTAAAAACCAAAAGCAGTTTTTTTTTTTTCAGAACAACACAACACATACAGTCACATGAAATAGTGTCCATAGTAACAGTCTCCACCAAAGATCAGAACATCCCATTTTTCTCTGCCTCTGTAGCACACACTAATGTTTTTTAAATTAAGAAAAGAAGTTTGACACAAATATGTTTTCAAAATGTTTATTACATTAGATGCAGTCTAGAAAAACAGCTGACCTTGAACTGATTATAAGGACAGCAAAAGAAACTCCTGAGAATTTAGTTTCAGATTCACTTTCTTTCTGGTTGCTAAGACATTTAAGTTTCATGTAACCTGTCTGTGTCCGTGCTTTATTTCAGTAGAAGTGCTGTGTCGGCAGCTTCTCAAAATCCCTTGGGTGGAGGACGGAGCCTAGCTGTCTGACTACGACCCCACTACTATGTGAACTGCGTAGGTCTGAAGCGGGCTCCCGATGCTGACCCTGAAGTTGTCCTCTCCTTCTGTGGAGTGGATTCTGCCGTAAAGTGCCTTCACTCGGGATCTCTGTCCATTTAAGTTTCTGTCCTTTATTCCCTCAAAAAACTAGTTCAAGTGCCTGACCACAGGATGTGCCTGTCGTCTACCCTCCTCCTAAAAACTTGCTGTTGCACTGTTACTGCATTCTGGAAACACAACTCTCACATAGGAATCAACAGTTTTTCTCTGGGATGACAGACTCTGGAAACAGAGTGGATCCCTGGTCTGGGGAGAACTGTTTTTGTAGAACCTTAAGAGGGGTCAAAGTTCACGTTCCTGTCTGTTTTTTCACTCTCTCTCACCGTTCACGTCTTCACTAGCAGCTCTTCAAAACTCAATCCTTCCACTGTTTCGGCTGCTTTCTCCCTCCAGCTGTGGCAGTTAATAACTGGGCTGTTGAGTGACAGGTGGGACGGTTACATAACCTGCACCAGAACAGAACAGAACATTTCTAACTAGTTTCTCATGGTCACAGACTGGTCTTCCACTTGAACAAGGCCCACTACATATTTTCTCGGCTCCTTTCTGTTTCCTAATGAATTTGTTGATGCTGTTGGTGTCCTGGTTGTCTGGCATATAAATGTGTATTTTTTGTTGACATATCTGTATTTATGAAAGAGCACAATTGTGGATTTTTTTTGCACAACTGTCAAAGCAGAACACCCGAAAACTGCTGTTTTTGGTTTATAATGTTAGGAGGAAGTGAACCTCCTCCGACTCGTCTGGGAATATGGTTTGTATTTATGCAGACAGCAGGTTGAGATCCCTGAGCGAGTGTTTGGAGGAGAGCTCTGATATCTGACCGTCATGTCTGGGCTTCATTTGTCCGGCTCTCCTGGTTAATCAGCAGGTCTGATGAGGTTCAACATCTGTCGGAGGAGATCGTCGCAAGGAGATAAAGACAAAAAGGGGTCGGAGTACAGTGGGGCCAGATGGCCATCTGCCTCAGATTGAGGAATAGATTTGTCTACGAAAAGTAATTTAAAGGATGGCCCTAATCCAGGCCTGATGATAGTAGAGGGGGCGTGCTGACGTCACCGCTGTGATAAGGAGCACGGTGGAGTCACACAACGCTCAGCTCGCTGGGATGCGCTGCGCTGGGCGGCAGATTGTGGGATATTTTTTCTGATGTGATCATTTTCCCTTTAGACTTAATAGAAATGTATCAGTATGCATTTGACCACATTAGAGTTGTCGTTATGATAATGTGTGTCCATTAGCAGGAGTGACTCTGTGTTGTCCGTTTCTCTCTCGCTCTCTCGCTCCCTCCCTCGTTTGTTTTTAGTTTCTCGGAGAACGAACCTGATCGACCAGAGAAATTGTGTACCCAAGGAAGTTTTAAATACGTTGGTCACCTGATTGCCAGGTTTCAGACTGTCCCTTTTAGAAGTTCCTCAAATGTTGAAGTTGTCGTTCTTGTGAATGATAGATCAGTATTTTCAGTTTATGTCTTTGACACCCGCTGTGTGTGGTATATAGTGTTATATATTAGTATATTAGTGTAGTGATGTGCATAAGTCTTTGGCCTCAGTTGTGTTTAGTGCTACTGAACCATTACATTTCTGATTGACTTCAGTCTCCATTCATCTTGACCCTTTAATTTCATTAAGTAAAATGCAATATGAAGTGCCAGAAGCTCATTCTACACAACATAAAGATGCAGAAGGTGCAAAAAGCCATGAATGGGTGAAACGTTTAATGTTATTGAGCTTTGTATTCTTAAAAGAAATTGTTGAAGTAAATGTTTCCACTGTCTGTAATATTTACAAAGTATTGTATAGTTACGGATGTGTTGTGGATAATTTAGCAGATGATTTGGGTAATATCCAAAGTCTACTTTATGGTACTCAGCTCTCAGGTTTAGATTTAACTATTTAATATATTTCTAAGTTAACAAATATTGTTGTAAAAGTGCTTAAAATTGACACTACTTCAAACAATGTTTGAAGCTAAATGTAATGTCTTGTTAATGTTGCTATACTTTTCAGCCGGAGCCGCTTCACAAATTCAGAGGTACAGTTAAAGGTGTAACATCTTTAAGGATGGTGTTACACCCACACCATTGATGCGTTCAGAAACAATCTCAAGGAAACAAAAGAAAATCTCTAAATGCACTGAGAGTGGCCAGCGAATGAACTGAGGTGTAAACAAATGACAAAGCAGACGGTGATCAAAGATCAGCTTTGTAATCCCTGCTTTCAAAGACTGAAGACTGGATTTGTAAATTACAAGTGTATCAGGTTCTTTTGTGGTGGAACATAAAAGAGCAGCAGAGCCCAAGACTTATGCTCACCACTGTGTGTCTGGAGAAGTGGAGGTGATCACTGGGAACTTTTTCCTTTTGTCTTTTCTCACAGCTGTGGTTGTGATTTATCAGACCATTTGATGAATGAGAGGACAGTTCACTTGTGTTGTTTTGCTCTTTCTAAACTATCTTGTTCTGTTTTATTTTGTCATGTTTTTTTTGTTTTTTTTTTAGCTTTTGTTGTCAAACATCAATACTTGAAAGTGTGGGACTGGCCTCCGGCTGCCTGGATGTTCCCATGGATTTTGCTGTGTCTGTGTTTTACAGTTCTTGTTATTGTTGCAGTCGCTGTGTCATCCTGTATTATTTCTAAATTATTATGTGGTTAAAGAGCACAGTTCAGTCTAACTGGAGGAGTGCTGTGGTGACAGGGTCGGTCTAATTTACTCGTTCATATCATAGATCATGAATATATGAAGTGGATGTTGCTGTTGGTTGTTACAAAAGGTGAAGCCCTTGACCAAAGGTCTCCAACTCAAATAGGCTGAGGGCCACCATCATTTCAAATCAAAGCCACATCAGTATTCAGTGTTCCATACCAAATAATATGAATACTGTACAATAGTACAGTGCCAACAAATCTTTTTTTCTCTCTGATTCTTAAATGACTAACATTTCGACTAGCAAAGTATGTTAATAATTGGAAAGACAAAAGTAAAAATAAATGATTACCCATTTTTAAATTATTATTGACATCTAGTAATGGGCCAGATGTGGGAGATTCCCGAGCCAAAAGTGGCCCCCCGGCCAGGAGTTTAAGACCCCTGCACTATTAGTGGACTAATCTTTTTAAGCAAGCAGTGTCTGATTGGATAACTGTTAATTTTTGCTCGTACAGACTTGCATCTTTCTGCTGCCCATTTTTACTCCACAGTCCATTTATCTTTTAAATTTCCTTGACTTGATGATGTTTTATTTTTGACATTTGTTCTCAGTGTAAGTGAGTAGTTGTGTACATAGTGTTCCCATTAATTTTTGGTTTTCCTCTTCTTGCACTGGCTCTGCCCAAACACCTTTCTGCTGTACAGGCTGCACCTGCTGTTGCAAAGAACTGCCAGAGAGGGCACCAAATGGTTTATTATTATTCTTGTTATCGTTTAATAAAATGATGGCACTGTCATTTTGAGTACTGATCTCTATTGTATGTAATAATGTTATAAATGAATTATATATAATAATGTACTTATTGTCTGTTATATACCAGTGGTTTTCTTACAGACAATAGTGAGACAGTTTTCTAGATTTTCATCGTCACTACATGGCAATAATGAAACTCAATTAGCTGACATGAGTTTATCCACCGGATGGATTATTTTATATCCTATGAAAGTTTGATAAATTTTTTTTTTCTCCATTCCATTCTCTTTATTAACTGATCGTACAGTTAAATAAAGACATGAAGAGCTTTATGTCATCACCCATTTTCTAAGGTACATGATTTTCTACGGTCTGTTGGAGACAATGGTCAAACGTCTGAGTCGATAAGTTGGAGTCACTGTGACGTTATTGTGTCCTGCAACAACATGTGACTCAGGGACTGAGGCAGGAAACTGTCACTATTTCCTGCCATTTGAGTCTATAGTAACAGTGTTAAATCTTGTCTGCTGTGACTGTGCTGTTATTGAGTCACTCCTGTTTACTAGAATTTCACATTAGGATCCAGGAAGTTCCACTTTTATTATTATGGCTGCTCCACAACACAGACATTAAAGTATGTCCTTATCAGCCGCGTCATGAGTGAGCAACTCGGAAAAACCTGGAGTCAAAACTTTCCTTTGTCTGACGTCTGTTCCAAGAATGAACGAGCAGCCATTTCCTGTTAAGCCTAAGACTTTTACAGTCAGAGGTTCAAGGTTGAGAGAAGGAGGAAATGACAGCGAACTGGACTGTGTAGCAATTTACTGCTTTTGACAAATGAATGTGCTAGGCCGCTGTAAATTGTGGCAAATTTACTGCACGTGACAATATCAGCCTTGATAACGAGGCTATCATGCAAGAGTGTTTTATTTCTCACAAACATGATCAGAGGTGGTTTCTCACATTCACCATCACAGGTCTGTAAACAAGAACAATGTCATAAAACAGTGAAGACAAATCATCTGTACAGCGTATAAATACAGTTGACTTGTTAAGTGACATTTAGTCAGTTTTTTTTGTTTTTTGTTTTTTTTTACACAAGCTGTTTAGTCCTAGACAAACTGACCAGAGTGTTAGTCAGTCATTCTGGTTATGAAGGCCGTTATATGAATGAACGAGAGACTTTGTGCTTGTGGACATGTGGTTTATTTTAACTTAAACTGTTAAATACTTTGAAGACTGTAGTATGAAAGATGGATCAGCCGCTGTTGAAATCTCAAGCCAACAGCATTCACTGATGTTGTGACCTGTTACTAATATTATATATATATCCTCATGTAGTTTCATAAAAAATAAGCTAAGCTAATGTGGACTTCTGCCTCGACCTTCTCTGACCAATACAGAACTCCTTTCATAGTCTTTAGTAAGGATTAAAACTAGTAGGTTCTCCGTGGTTTCCATAACAGCCTCACAATACAACAGCACAGCAGCTAACTTTTAACATTATTTTGTGTAATACTCTGAGAGAACACATATTACAGCAGTATTTTTAGAGGTCTTATGTTAGGAAAAAATAGAGTCCTGCTCTTTCGAGGAAACCCATGGCTCCAGAGGTTGAGGGTTCTATGCCATGGTCATAGTTTTGTGTTCACAGTTTCTTCATGCAGGACACTTAAAATACTCATCATACCAGGTGTTTTGGACACAGTCTGTCTGCTCCTAGTACCAGCTGCAAGCCTCGATAAATGCTGCCCTAAAAAATTATTTATAAGTTAGGATGTAAAGGAAATGTGAAATCTTGTCTAAAAAGTGAGATCAATGTCAGTGTTGATTGTGGGTCCTGTGGTGTTCACCTCTTAAAATGATCTGGACACTGGTCGTAGCCCTGTTAAAATATTCAGATTATGAACTTTGTACCTGTGTGGCTCCAGTAAATCCAACTTGTCCCCCAGGGATATGAAGGACATGAAATGTAAAAAAAAAAAAAAATAGAAAAAGTAAAGAAAAGATCGGTACACATACAATGGTGTCTCCAGAAGAACAACGCTGCCTATTTTCTCTGTCTTCTCCAGCCCCGTGTATCTGTATATAAAACCACCACTAGGGGGCAATAAATGCAGGCTTTTAACGTTTTGAAAATGTTCAAATGTTATGTATGCAACAGTATACAGTCTTTATAGTAGTTCTTTTTGTCTTAACATTGTGAATTCACTCTAGAGAGAACCTTCCTCTTCTTCTGATCCACTTCTGGTCTGATCCCGCCTCTGCCTTCAGACTGTTCACACTGTGAAGTTCTCACCCCTCTGCTTCTCTGCATTATACAGTAGGTAAGCAGACAATACACTGAAGAAAAGGAGTGATACTGGAACTTTGTGAGTTTGTTTTAGTGGCTGAAAATGCCTGCTCTTTTACTCAGGACCAGATGGCTGGAACAATGGCGTGTAGTCAGCTGTGGTCGGACCAATGGTGGGGTTGATGGTCTCTTGATGGTCGCAGCGCATGTTTCCAGTGGTGAACACACACTGCAGAGGCCACAGCACGATGACAATCAGCAGAATTATCAGCACGATAAAAATCATCAGTCTCTTTCCGTCTGCCATTCGGCTAAACCCTCCAAGTCGGTCCCTTTCTGACGGCACTGGTACGTCCACTGTTTTACTGGCTCCAATGTCAATGCAGATGCAGAAGGCCGTGGGACTGTCAGGAGCGTCCCGGCCGGCCCTGTTTCCAGAACTTTTGTAGCACAACTTTTCCCCATCCAGCCACACAGGCTCCTCCTGCTGTTGGTTGTGGGGAAGAGTGCACAGGACCTCGCGGCTTGTTGCCAAAGCTGGGGGTCCCTCCTCAGGGAGCGTAGTGGGTTGACGGCAGAAGGGACAGGAGAGGTGCATGATGCCTCCGCTGCCATTGGCTTCGGCCTGCGACACCACCATCAGGCGGGAGAGGCACTCGAGGCAGAAGGTGTGGGTGCAGTCCAGCAGTTTGGGCGTCTTGAAGACATTGTCGTAAGTGTTGTAGCAGATGGAGCACTCAGGCTGACACACTGATGTTTTCTTCTGCAGCTCCACGACTGTTTCCTGGGAGTTGAGCGGTACGTGCCAAATTGGTGGAGGGCGCTCCATATTGGGAAAGCCGACGCACTCTAACGTCCAATCCTCTTCGGCCTGTCCTGTCAGAGAGGAATGAAAACCAGACATTAATTTCCCAATGACATGTCATCATGACAGTTAGAGAAGCACTGGAGTTGACTTCGACTGTGTGACTGACAGCTGGACTGTCCAATAGAAGCTTGCTGACAGGTAACATATATAACCTTCATACTAGAGTGACATAACCCAATATTTACCTCCTGCTCTTTGCACATCAGAAAGCCACCAGGTTGTATGTTTTAGAGCTAGATGCTAGCGCCACCCTTTTGCTCTATAAGAAAACAGAGTTGGAGCTAAAATAACTGGTGGCAGTTATTTTAGATGTACCGTCTCGACACTAATGAGAGGGTGTAAATTTGTTGCATAAAGTGACCTAGGTTTCTTATCTGAGATCTGGGAAGTTTAGGTTTTTGGTCCACCACTGGTAAACATTGGTACTATTTCTGGAACTACACATTCAGCACAGTCAGCCTTGTGTCACAGTTTCTACCCAACCCATTGTTGAACATCATCTGTTTCCTGCTAAGTCTTCCACTGCTTTCAGCCTGGCTCTAATTGTATCGATGCTTCAGCTGTAAACCACATACTTTTTTAACAGGATTAATACCAGATTCCCATTCAGATTAAAAGAAAGAGTCAAAACAAGTAATCCTGATTAAAGATTCTGTGGAAAAATGTTAACGAACAGTTAAACACAAAGAAAAACAGATGGTAATGTATTTAATGTTCTTCAATACCAGGCTTATCTAGCAGTGAGACCAGATTGCAAATGTCCGTTTCCTATATTTGATGAAAACTGAGCTGAGTTGTACAACAATATGATAACATTTGTTATGCATCAGTGTTTTGTTTCAGTTTCCTCAAACTGTTTTTGTTGTTTCATAATATGACCAGGACTCGGGTCAGTGAGTAAATTCCTTTTGTCCGTCTGAATATTGACCTTTGAGTTATTTTTACTTTAACATGCAACTCACATAATATGAAACCTGACGTGACTGTGATCAGTCAATGAATCATTCAATGGAGGCAGTGATGCAAAAACGTTAATGTTTAGCCTCAGAAAACAGTGTTTGGAAACAATGTATTGACTTAGAGGTGGGATATAAGCACATAATTGGCTTAGTCTCAAATCCATGTCTTTCTTTGTGGTTTATAGTCATAAAATCTGAGACACACACACACATTCACAGTAACAAACCTTCACACTTCAGCACCTTTTTTTTATCTATTATTAGAAATATTATTCTACCCATTAACAATAAGAGCCTGTGGTCATGAATGTGTATTGAAACCTGGTCTTTGTTCACTCAAGGTCATAACTGCTGCAACATGAATAATCTGAGTTTCCCTCTGAGTTAGTAATCATTAGCCAGTGGTTGTAAAAGTGAAGCAGGGCGATGCTTTATGATCTTTCCCTGGGTTTGAGTGTGAACGTTGTGACCATCACGTGAAACCAATGATGGAGAACAATCTCTGCATCTGATTCTCCATCCATAAAATTCTGTGTTGGTGATTTTATTTTATTGGCTGATATGAGCTAAAGATTAGATGGGTGAATGGATGGATGGGTGGATAGAAGGACAGAAACAAAGAAACAAAAGAAGGACAATAAACTGTTGAAGGGTGAGGGAGACTCCCTGCAGTGGCCATGAAGAACTCTGAGGTTAAAAGGCCTTCACTCGGCTCCTCTCTATGTCTGACAGTGTATGTGTGTGCATGTCTGTGTTTGTGTGTGTTTAGGTTTGATGAGAACATTACCTAGTAATGACCCATATGCTGCTGTTGTGGTTCAGAAAGTAAAGGGCATTAATGTGTTGAGGTGTGTGCAGGTGTGTGTGTGTGTCATCAGTGATGAAGTATAGTCAGAACCCAGGTGTTCTCTCTCTCTCCCTCTCTCCCCAACCCCCCTCCCCCCGTCCTCAGGCCTGAACCTCCCACTGCTCTCTGTCCACACAAAGTCTACACTTGTTCACCAGCTAATCACTCTATCTGCCCTTGAAATTCCTGCCCCAAGACACCTCCCCACTCTCTCTCTCTCTCTCTCTTTCTTTCTTTCTCTCTTCTCTCCCCCCTCTGCCTCAGCTGTATTCTGACACTCCTTCAGGTGGATGAGGACAGATTTTTCGATGTTATTACAGCAGTTTAACGACTCCCCTGTGTGAACATCTCTGCTCACTTTACCTTTTTTGTACAGACATGTGGAGACAAACGCGCTCCCAAACCTTTAACTTATTTAAAACTGGGTTCCTGCGGTGGGATAAAAGCCACTTAGAGAAGTGAGTCAACAAAAACCTGAAACAAAAGTCATTAGAACAGAACATGAACCTGTGACAAAGGGTGTTTGAACAGGTTAATGACCAGTGTCCAGGACTAGCTAGTAGCAGGTAGCTTCTTCAATTGTACTTTCACTGTTATACTAATACAGCACCTCTTGTGGTACTTAGGATTGAAATGATCTGTCATACCACTCTGGTCAGTTTATTTAATTTACTTTTGTTTCTATGGTGAATGGGTTTTCCTAACATTTGACAAATCGACACTAAATGTTATTTAGCATTAGCCAGAATCTTCTAAAAGTTTCCTTATCAGTCAGCACATAAAATGTAACATGAACTTATAAAAAGATATTCAACAATGTCAATGCAACTATCTGTTAAGGTTTTACACAACTTTAAAAAGTATTTTCCCAGGCCTCGGGATCAAAGTAAACACAGAACAACAACAATGAGACCATTCACAGTTGATTGTACTGTTTACAGATGCAAAAATATGCGGTTGACATAATTTAACTCAGTGGTAAATTTGACTCCTGGCTGAGAACCACACGCAAGGAAGAATAGTCTGAAAAACCAGCATTTGAATTTGGAAAAAAACAAAAACAAAATGATATTAATGCTCAGAAACCTAATGAGTCAACCTTTCTTCTCTTTTTTAATTTTCTCAAAATTCACTCGGTTTTTGGTCTCAGTTCTGCTCCACAGTTTAGTCCAGTGACACTGTGTGGACCAGTAGCTTCAACCACCAGTGGTCCAAACAAACTGATGAATTAAGACTAAAGGTGGGCTGTATTTTTTCTCAGTTTGGGATGGAATGTGACCTGCATTCCCAAGGCCCATATACCAGGTTGTATGTAAACTGGTTGAGACCCAACACATGCTCCAATATCACATAGTGGCTAAAATACAGCTTAATGTGATGTCAGTGACTTTTGCTGTTTCAAGTAAATAAAACACTGAGTGGAAAAATATCATGATGATGAATTTAATAGTTACATTTTTTGGCCTGCTGCTTTGTTATCAGTCAAGTTTAAAACTGACTGTCCTTGTTGTAACTTGTTAGCTAGCAGCTAGCACACACATAATCACATTGATCCTGGACTTCAGAGAAAAGATCTGACCTTACTTTTGTCAAAATTATAAGTTTGAGGTGAGATTTCTGATTGTGTTATCTCTGAAAGTTTGTAAAGGAACTTTTTTTAAGTTTTATTTGATATTTAAATATTTGAATTAAAAATATTTATTTCAGACTAAAACAGAATATAGTGTACTGATGGATAACATCAGATGAACAAACATTAACTTACTATTACTTTAGAAAAGGTTACACCCAAATGTTCACTGTTATCTGGTTTAACTGCAGCCACTTTATGGCTGCAGTTTGTTATCAGTGACACATGTTTTCTTCATCATGTCCCACTGACCCATTAATACATAAATATCTGTGGGTCACACATCAGACCCACTTTCTCTGTCGGTTGGGTTTGTGTCATTTCAAGTTCTTTGTGTTTTCTAGCACCATGCGCTGCCAACCGTCTCCCACAATGCTGTTCTTCCTGTTTTTACTGCAAAAGAACAGGTCGTGGAGGTTTCTAACTGACATGAACCTGAACAAATACAACAACAAAGCAGAAAACTGAGACACACACACACACACACACACACACACACACACACACACACACTGGGGGAGTCCTAACTGAACACAGAGACAGAGGCTTCTGAAATGTGACCACAGGCTGCTGCTGAGCACTGTTATCTACCTGTAATCCATCTAAACTGTCCCATTTACAAGTAGTTTAGACATGAAGGTAAAGGGAGGGAGCCATCAGTTATCAGAGTCATAAAATCAGTCCACAGTTTATTCTTTCTTATCTGCTGTTTGGTTAAAAAAACCCACTTTGAAGAGATTTGTCAGGAGATTATATTCACAGTCTTCACTGTGAGGCCTGAAATGAACAGCCCTCCTGGGTATATCTGGACCGGTCTTGTATTAAAGGAAAGGAAAAGAACAGCACAGACAAAATTAGACTCAAGTTTACCTGGTAGCTGAACAGGATCCGATCGAAAAACCAGCCTCTCTGGAGACCTGGCCTCACTTCACTCCTTCTTCACTCAAAAATTCATCTTTTCTTTTGTCCTGCAGATAATGTCAGCTAACTCCCAAGATCCCAGCAGCTAGACTGGGAAGGTGTTGATGTTGGTGCTGGTTCCCAGGATAAAGTCGTCCTCTGGAACAGGTCTCCAGGAGCTACAGGTGTGTTTTATGTGTGTGTGTGTGTGTGTGTGTGTAGGAGGGTGTGTACTGTGCTCTGAGCTTTGTTGTGTCACAGTGTGGAGCTCTGGATCCTCCTTCCTCAGTGTCTGTTGGCTGATGTCACCTGTCCTGCTCCTGTCAGCTCCCTTTTTTATGCACTTTATGCAAATGAGTTTAACAGTGTCTCAGCCTCTGGGCTGAGTGAGTGAGTGTGTGTATTTGTATGTTGGCAGCAAGAGGTGGGAGTGGTGGAGGGGGATACACATTCTTGACCGCTGACAGCACTTCACTCCTTCACTCTTCCAATTCTGATATTTTTTTTGTCCTCAGTTGGCTGTTCCACACTTTCTACGTCTTAGGAGAAAACAAAACAAACACAGAGATGTCACATTGTAATATGTTCATATATATGTATTGGATAGATAGATAGATAGATAGATAGATAGATAGATAATACGAACCGCTTTAACCCATCGTAATCCAGCTCTGCTTTTAATCCCAACCCTACACATACCCCTAACCCTATCCCAAAACTTGACCTTAAA